GGCATATAAATTTCCAATAAAATGAAAAAAAAAAAATGTTGGGATAGTTTCCTGTACCTATAATGATTCACATTACATGCTCAAGAGAGAGGTGGAATATTCAAGTCATTTTCAGATTTTTGAGTTCTAGTCAATTTTTATAAGCACTAAATGTTGTTCTATTATTGTATTCCATGTGTTTTTACAGGATGGTATCCCATACATTGGATCCAGTGCAGGAACCAACGTAGCAACCACCAGCATCAACACAACTAATGATATGCCCATTGTGTATCCACCTTCTTTGACAGCTCTCCAATTGGTTCCTTTCAATATCAACCCACATTACTTGGACCCAGATGTTAATAGCACTCATATGGGAGTAAATATCCAGTCTCTTAACAGCTTTCTAGCACTTAATGTCAATGCTTAGCAAAGCATGAGGGAACTATATTATCTCCATGTTCTTTTGATGGCCATGAAAGCATTAATATTATTGGTGAAACCAAAGTCTTTGATTGAGATGGGAGGCATTAATGATTGAAAACAGATAACCATACATTAAACAACCAGAAATTTGGTTTGCAGTCGTTAGGAAATGGATCCGGGAAACAGTGGGAAGTCCATTTATTATTATCTATATAAATACTATTTGGCATCTGAATTAACAATCCAAATCACAACTAACATGCTGAATAGGCACGGTATACTAAGTTGTAACATACTTTGTCTAATTTTGGCTTAGCCAGAGTATAGCCAGTTGTGGGAAACCTGAGGACATCCAGAGGGATATTTGCCATGGACATGGGAGTGAGTATATGAAGGTACTTCATATTTTAGGTGGAAGGAGGAGTTGAGTACTTAAAAAAGTCTAGGAAAACAAAAGTTTCCCCTCCTTCTTTTAAGTATACAAACTATAATGTAGGTTGTAATGTAAGATGATGTATCTATTTAAAAAACTAACTAGCTTTAGTGGAATCTGTGGATGGCGTCATAGTAATACTGTTAGTTCAAGGAGACATAACTGATATGGGAGTTTTGAGAACCAAACTGGAGCCCATGGAAGCTTACACAGGGGATGGCTTTATTTTTTTAACACCATCCTTTTGACATCACCCTTGCTTTTGAGCAGTGTTTCTCAACCTTGGCAACTTGAAGATGTCCGCACTTCAAGTTGCCAAGGTTGAGAAACACGGTTCCACCACAAAACCGCAGACGACAAAATCGCGGTCGACGAAAGCGCGTATGTGACGTCATCACAGCGCGACGAAAAAGATCGAAAAATTTAAAAATAAAGCGGAAACCTTACCCTAACCCCCCCAAACCTAACCCTTAACCTAACCCTAAACCTCACCCTTA